ACTGGCATGACCCAAGCCAAGCCAGCGAGAGTCCTCCACCTCCTGGCAACAGCGATGGATTCAGGGATGGCATGTGACCTGAGATAGGCAGGCGAGACTCAGTCCTGGGACTCGTGTGGGCTACTGGGAAAGAGGACTCCTTCCCTGGGGCTGCTGAGCAGGGAGGGTGTTGAGGGAGAGCCGCTGGGGCATCCTCACAGCACAGGAGGGCACCTGCCAGAAGACAAGCCTGTGTGGAGGAAGGCGGGGCCTGATGGCAAAGTCAGCACCTGGATCTAGCTGTACCTGAATCTATCCTGGATGTCTCAGTCACAGGAACCAACCAATCCCCCCACCCCACCAGGTATCTTTTTTCAGGCAAGTTTGGGTTGTTCTGTCCCTTGGCCCTGAAAGACGCCTAGCTCACGTGCAGGCTTCTGAGGACTCCCCCAAGTGTGGCTCTTCAGGGGAGGGGCAGAGAGGGTACCTGCAGATGTGCACCTCGTAGCCCAGGTCCAGGGGGTCGTTGGGGGCTGTGCCATTCTGGAAGTCACTGACGTTGAAGGAGGAGAGAGTGTGGTTGACGAAGCCGTGCATGGTCCCGTTCTCGCTGTACATGTACAGGTACACCAGGCGCGGGATGAAGTCAGACGTGAAGGAAATCACAAAGGCCTGGGGGGGACAGGGGAGTGAGCAAGGGGCCCCCAGGCTGGGCAGGGGAGGGGGTATGGGGAAAGGCTGCCTATTACCTGGGGGGACAGCGGGGTGGGTGTGGATCCCCAGGCTGGGCAGGGGCCTGGCCATGTGGCTCTCTGCCCCCTCCACCACTAGGCAGGGACGGTGGCCACGTGGGCTCAGCATGTGGTGTGACCAAAGGAAGCCGAGGAGAGGGCCCGGAGGCCGGGACAGTGTGCTCCAGAGTGGGAAGCCTTGGGGTCAGTGGGCTGTCCCTCACAGGCCGTGTGGCCTCAGACATGCCAGCTAACCTCTCTGTGCCTCCTCTCTCTCCTTGTAAACCAGGACTCATCATGTCCTCCCTATGCGCCTCGCTGCGCTGGCGGGCTGGTTAGAGAAGTGAAGGAGGTGGGAAGGGAAAGCTCTGGGCCAGCTCGTTCTGTCTGGTGCGTGGTGAGAGCAGGGAGCCTGGGGCCCGATGCCCAGGGCTGTGTAACCTTGAGCAAGTTGCTCACCCTCTCTGTGCCTCATCTGTAACATGGGGTGGTAACCTTCCCAGCCTTTGAGGACTCACCCCCTGCCCTCATGCAGACCAAGGGACATTGGTAACGATGACAGAATCTGGCCAGGTCAGGGCTGCACTGAGGTTGGGGCAGGAGACCCAGGTCTAGGCCCCCTTGTTGGCCTGGCCAGCGTGGGAGCTCAGGGCCTGAGTGTCCCTTCAGCTGAGAGCCCCGGTGTCACTTACATTGATGATGACTGCCAGCTTCCCCACACCTCTGAGAATATTGTACCAGATTCCTGGGGGAAAAGAAAACCAATGTTAAAGGCCCCACTTTGACTTAGCCCTGGCTGATGCAAATGGTTAAGTGCTCGGCTGCTAACCCAAAGCTTGAGGGTTCGAGTCCACCCAGAGGCACCTTGGAAGAAAGGCCTGGCAATCCACTCCACAGCAATTTTTTTTTTTTTTTGCAGTAATGTCCTTGGAGTCTCTGAGTGGTGCGAATGGTTAATAAGCTCGGCTGCTAACTGAAAGGTTGGCATTTCAAATCCACCCAGAGGCACCCCGGAAGAAAGGCCTGGCAATCTATTTTTTTCCAAAAAAAAATCAGCCATTGAAAACCCTACGGAGTGCAGTTCTTTTGGGACACACATGGAGTCGCCATGAGTCAGAAATGACTTGACGGCAACTGGAATTCCAACTAAGGCCGCGGCCTCATTCAGCCGTGAACTTTGCCTGGCTTAGCAGAGTCTGAGACACGTGCGGTGAGCAGGCCCGTGGGAGACGCGCGAACCACAGAGCTGGCGGCAGGCACGGCTCGTTGGCGGCTTGTAAGCAGAGTGGAGCTTCTAGAAGAGGTCCTCAAAAACACTTGTCTCTAAGTGGCTCTGAGCAGGCACCGCGCGGACCTGTTTACATGACTAATTGGCTTCCATGAAGCCTTTCTTCTGGAGAGGCAAAGATGCAGTTGGGTGTTGCCGCAGAGCACTGAGCTTCTGTTTCGGGTGGTGGAAAATCTGGCAGAGTGGA